AATATAGTAAAATAATATTAATATACTTATCTATAATAATATTTTATTAAAAATGAGGCTATTTATATAATTAAGAAATATAACAGTAAATTTTATAATATATATAGTACTTATTTATAATAATATTTTATTAAAAATGAAACATATATAAATATGGAGGACTATTTGATAAATAAAAAAGTTCAACTCCATTTTGGAGTAATGAGTTGGTTTACTCCATATTTGGAGTAATCATGTTTGTTACTCCATTTTGGAGTGAGTTTTGGAGTAGGATTGGAGAAGATTTTACTGCAAAATAGAGTTTGGAGTGAGTTTTGGAGTGGGGTTGGAGATGCTCTTACGCGTCAAAAAGGATAGTAAGCTGTTAGAAGTGAATAAAACATAATTATATTACGCGTCAACTAATTTGAGCACTCTTACCAGCTGATATTTTAACAGTTATGCCGAACTAATTATTTTCGAAAAGCTTTTTTTTTTTAAAGTAAATCGTAAAAACAAGAAAATAGTCACTATTTTTTCAGAAAAAAATAACACTATTTAATAGGATTCATTTAATATCTTAGGAACCTAAGAAAAAAGACACGTTTTCAGAAAGACCAACATTCTTTCATCAAGCTGGTAATTTATGAATCGGGTTTGGTGAACGCTACTGAAGCTAAACAGGAAAATAAAAGTAAGAAAGAAATGATCGATCAAAAAAGAAGCTTACATGATCTTGTGAGGAGTCCAGAGGATGCTATAGCGATGAAACTCTTTAGAAGGATCGAACCAGAGACGATATCTCTCTTCACGACCTCTATGTGTACTTCCATTTCCGTACAAGTTTGTCTGAAACCTCCATGGCTTTCCTTTTATGTTCCCTAGAAACTCTATGTCTAACTCGTCATGTGTTTTCTCGAACACGTCCCCGTTTGATGTCTGCACATATGATTTAAATTTACTTTCTATAACACATAACATAATTAACAACAAAGAACTGGAGAATTATGCTAATCAAACAGAAAAAAAATGGCCGACGACTAACATAAAAGGCGACGACGACGCCGGCAGTATAATCGGCGGGAAGCTTGATCATGGAGCTGTAAAATCCATGTTGATACATATTCGAAGATATAAAACCAGAACCTATGCAAAATCATCATCATCAATTTAATTGTTATCATACAAGAAAAGATAAAGAACCCATAAAAATATATATAGCTATATATATGTATATACCGGTGTATTTATCGAGGAGGAGGCGAACGGAGAGATCGTCAGGGGAACGGACGAGATTGCCATCGCCGAAAAGAGGAGAAAGTGATTCTTTGAAGCTTAAGGTGTTGAGATTCGTAAACGCTGATGATCTCAACCCCAGACACAAGAAAACGATGACGAAGATGAAATTATACGATGATTCAGACATTGTTATTCTTCCTGGGATGAGGTTTAATCTTCTTCTTCTTTTTTGTTTTGAAAAAATGAGGTTTAATCTTTTGGTCAGAGAAAACTGCTCTTTAACTTCCACGCTCGTGGTCTTTATATATAAAGGGAGAGAGTTATTCAGTTGTCTTATTTTTTTTTTAGTTTCTTCTCTATTTTCCTAATTTTCTCTTCTTTTCTGTATGTCACTAGTGTATAAAATTAAAAGTACATTTAGAGTTAGAAATGAGATATTAGTATTTATGGAATAGTCAAACAACAAAACTGATTTTAATCAATTTGAAAGAAAAAAATGATCCAAAATTGATTATAAAAATATCTAAAATAGTTATAATTAGAATATTTTTATTATTTTTATCTCTAAAAAATCAAACCCAATCCTAATTGAACTAAAAAGATTGTTAGTCTTTTGAACGATTAAAATATTTGTTTTTTTCAAAAGAATGGACAGCTTTTTACAAAAATCAACAGTAATTTACCACTGCATTTATTTTGGTTCTCATCTTTCTTTAACCTATAAAATTCGATACAAAACATGGATGTGAAGTATATACATTTTCCAAGTTAAACACATTCGAATATCTCTATTCATTCTCCGAGATCATTTGAGATAAAATGCGAGTTATGAGTGACAAAAGATATGGAAACAGCGATGATCAGCAATGAATCACAATGATCAACAATGGAATTTGAATCGAAAGTACGATATCCAATGGTTAATCACAATGATCAACTGATGTCGAATGGACATGACAAACAAGATTCTTAAACAATTACAAACTTCCCAAACAATTACAAACTTCCCAAACGTCCCTAAACAGAGAGCTAAGTACATAGTTATGATCAAATTAATCAATGAGCGGATAATTTTTTTAGTGCAATTAGAGTAGATTTAGCATGTGACATAAAAATAAATAGATAATAATATTAGCATATAAATACATAGTTTGGTATCAGTGGCTGAGCCAGACACTATATCTCTCTACGAAGAAAGCCGAAGTGATTAAAAAGAAGCCCGAGTGAATAAAAATGACAACTAAGCATGAAATGGACACCAATTAACTTGTGTATAAAAAATGGTATTTATCTGTTGACCCATGCAAATTGAATATAATAGATAGTCATCTTCATCACCAAATATGATTAAATATAAAGAGAAGTTAACTCAAACATTATTAATTTATTACTTATCGTGAAAACTATACAAAACTTTATTTTATTACTATTTTTTTTAATATCCAGCGTGCTTTTTTTTTTTTACTTTGTGATAAAAAACGTATTTACAAGAAAGTCATTATTTTTTATTGCACATAGACAAAAAATCAGCTCCTCTTAAGAATGCTGCATGAAACTCAGCCGTAATACGAGGCGAATTTCGTTATGGCCGAGTTATAGTTACGCTGCGGCTGACTTAAAGAATGCAGCTGACTTATGAGAAATAAGCTGAGTTATGAACATATAACTCAGCCTATCGTTACAGCTAACTTAAATAAATTGGACTGGTTTATGTGAGAACTGCTGAGTAACGATCACATGATACTACTGACTTATACATCGGCGGGCTGATTCTCTACAAAATCCGTCTGACTTCTAGTTACGATACGACTAAGTTAACTATCGTGGCTGGTTAAATGATCGTCGACAGGCTGAGTTATGAGAGGTTTTTACGGCTGAGTTATTTTTAACCAGCCGTAATAAAATGGAGTAACAGTAAACTCAACTGAATTACGGCTGGCTTATTAGCGAAAGATTAATTACTAGAATAGCATTCATTTGCCAGCTGATTTATTAGACGATACGACTGACTTATTGTGTTTCATCTTTGTTATGGCTGATTAATAGCAAAAGATAAATTACTAAAGTAGTATTCACGTTTTGACTGACTTACGGTGTACTTGGTGGCTGACTTATTGTGGCTAACTTAAGTGTTCGTTTGGTGGCTGAATTACCAATTTTTCATGTCATCATCCATGTCAGCTTTTATTTGCCATGTCATTACTAACGTTACAACAATGAAATTAAGGTTTATGTTACAGACGCCGCTCTCTGTTCTTCACCTTGTTCTCTTTCTCTAAAATCTTATGGATCTGGTAATTATTGTTTCAAGTAACTGGATTAAGAAAAAAAAATATGTATTCCAACCCGATAGCAGAGGATGTATAGTTTTACTTGTAGATGAGAAAACAACACACGCAAACTCGCAAAGTCAGTACTCGATGATTACATATTCAGATAAGCTACCAGTTCTCGAATAAAACTTTGAAAACAATGGCTCACGACACACCATCAGTTTACGTCTCCAAGACTCGTCAATTGCAAATTTTTTTAAGCCTAAGAAAAATCAAAAAATTACGTCTCTGTGTAGAGTTTACAGAGAACGAGGATGATGAAATCAGCCGGAAAGACGGAGCGGGAGAGAAAAGTAATAAATTATACAGTTTCAGGTCAGGAGCAGACGTATCAGAAGTTAAATCAAGATACGATGGTTTTAGCTTGGAGGAGGAACACGACGACAATGAGAATAACTTCTCTAGTATCTTGGACGGAGAAAAACAGAAAGATGCTGGAGAAGGCAAAGAAGACAGTGAATTTAAAGCCGATTTGACATGTTCGACGACTCGGATGGTGCTTCATCCGAAGATGATAACTTAAGCTCATACGGTGAGTCTCCAGCACAAGACAAAGATTCACCGACACTACCGCCTAAAAAGAGATCTCGGACTGAATCTTTTTTACATTTGGAGCGGATCTAAAGGGGATTCGGAGGTTCTAAGGTTGGAGATGTTTTCGCTAAACCTTGCTGTTGGAAAACAATATGAGAGTAAAGATGAGTTGGAAAGACGACTGAAACTTCTTACAGTGAGAGATCGATTTGATTTTGATGTTGAAGTATCCAATCCAGATTTACTCATTGTTAAATGTTGGGTTGGTGGATGTCTCTGGAGAGTTCGTGCTTCAACACAAGGGGATTCCCCGACATTCTATGTTCATATTTACGACTCGGAACATAAATGTTCTGTAACTGAGCGTTCTAATCGATCTCGACAAGAAACACCAGATATTTTAGGACAATTGTACAGGGACTTTCTCGGCGACGTTGGTCCGACCGTTCGACCTGCGAGTGTCGTAATAGCTCTCAATAAACAGTTTGGTCTCAAGGTAATTATTTTAGTTAGGCTGACTTATATTAACGTTACAGCTGAGTTATATCTACACTTTGTGGCTGATTTATATTAACGTCCGGCTGGGTTAGTAAGTTATAGGCTGAGTATACAAACTTCGAACGATGAGGCTGAGTTAACTAAGTTATTGGGCTGGGTTATATCAACTTTGAACGATGCGGCTGAGTAAGCTAAGTTACTTGGCTAGGTTAATTAAATTTCAATGTTGTGGCTGATTTAGTTAAGTTATTGGGCTCGGTTATTTATACGTTACGGCTGAGTTAGTTAAGTTATCCAACTGAGTTATTTATACGTTCTGACTGAGTTAGTTAAGTGATTCGGCTGAGTTATTAATACATTGTGACTGACTTTATTTGTATTCATTTGGGCAGATGGATTATTGGAACTCATATAAGACTCTGAAATTTGCAAGGGAAATCGATGAGGGAACACCTGAGAACGGGTTTGAAAACTTGCCTTCTTACTTATAATGATAAGAAGGGAAAATTCTGATACAATAACTCGTCTTCAAATTGATGAGTTTGGAAGATTCTTGTATGTGTTCCTTGCGTTTGGTGCGAGCATAAATGGGATTCTTTTCATGCGCAAAGTCGTGGTTGTCGATGGTACGTTTCTTAATGGCAAATACAAAGGGACGCTTCTACTAGCACTAACTCAGGATGGTAACTTTCAGTTTTTTCCATTTGTCTTCGGTGTGGTTGATACATAAAATGACGATTCGTAGCACTGTTTTTTACGCAACTAAAAGTTTTGATTCCTGACGACAAGGGTCTTGCGATAATCTCAGATAGGCATAACTTGATTGGGAAGGCTATTCGAAATGTGTATCCATTGGCTTCTCGAGGAATTTGCACGTACCATTTATATAAGAACATTTTGGGACGGTACAAAGGAAAAGAAGTATTTCGTCTGGTGAAGAAAGCGGCAAGATATTTTAGGATGCCTGACTTTAATGCAATGTTCGAGGAGATTGAATCTTTTGGGATGATGAGGAGTATTTTGCTCGTTTTACAAGGGAATCTGCTGATAGGATTGGGAAACAAGCGATCTGTGAAATTTGGATGGGGTTTGTGGCATGGTGACGACTTCCGCGCAAAGAAGTTGGAGTTCATTTCATCGGTTATGCCATTGTTCTCCAGCTGCCAATGTTGTGTTGTTGTGGACAGAAACTGGATCAGCACGTGGAGCATTGACACCACTAAGGGTGACAACATGTGTGACCGTTTTTTCTGGATTAAAGAGGTTGGGCTGTTCTTCCGTGAGTTTGAACCGATGAGCGTGATTATTGACACAAGGGAGTGGTGAAGATGTATTAATATTTTGATTTTCTTTGCAATGTTAATATTTTGATTTCCTTTGTAATTTAAATTATAGACTATTGGTTGTATTAAAGCTAAGTTATAGATTAATTAAAGCTGAGCTATGGATTAATTAAATCTGAGTTATGGATTTTAATGTTTATATATATGTTATAGTTCTACTACGGTTGAGTTATTAAAATATGAAAATCTGAGTTAATAATATAGTGACCGAGTTATTGATTTAACTAAATACACGGCTGAGTTATTAAAATATGAAAATCTGAGTTAATAATGTAAAGTGGCTGAGTTATTGATTTAACTAAATACACGGCTGAGTTATTAAAATATGAATCTGAGTAAATAACATAAAGTGGCTGAGTTATTGAAATACACGGCTGAGTTATTGAAATATGAAAATCTGAGTAAATAACATAAAGTGGTTGAGTTATTGATTTAACTAAATACACGGCTGATTTACTGAAATAGGAAAATGTGAAATA